GGGTGGGTGCGGCGCTTTGTCCCCCGCCCCTATCTGCACCAGTGGATCTGTCTGCCAGACCAGAATGATGTTATCCATGCCAAGAAGGCCTACGATCTCCAGAGTGATGTGAGCTCTTTTGATTTAATTTTTCATGAGGAATGTATTTGAGATTTTACAGAGGTGGACCAGACCATCACACACCAGTGTGGTGGAACTAAATGTTCAAGAGTTATTTTTAAGCTTTGTGTCTAATGGAAACTCAAATCTCCAATAGGATAGGTTGACTAATTGATATTTAAATGAAATCCTGTAATTCCAGAATTTGGGCTATTTATCATTTGCCACTCTTTGTAACTTGGGTAATGGTTTTGCTCTTAATAGGGATGAAATGCAGGGACTTTTCTGTAGGGTTTTGAATTTATTTGAATTAAAGTTTGATAGTGAGATTACTAAACTGAGAAAAGATGCACTGTGCAAATTGCACTGCTGTTATTAGAATAACCCGTGTCTTGTTTTTGTAATAGAACTGCTACAAGTCTGACCTGGAGTGGTTGCGGGGCATCGGTTGGGTCCCAATTGGCTCCTTGGACGTTGAAAAAGCCAAGAAGGCGGGAGAGATCTTGAGCGATAAAATATACCGTCAGCCTCCAGACACAATCAAGTTTACCAGCATCACTGATTCTGTACCGATGGTCCTGGCCAAGCAGAATGCAGAGACGATGAATAAGGTGGGTGAATCTTGAGTCGGATAGGTAACACGTCAGCAGTCTTCACCCAAACCCTGGAGACAAGACTAGAAATGCAATGATCACATGTAATGCTGAAGGGTAGAGATTATGTGTTTTCCAATAGTGAATTTTAATAGTGTTCATTTCAGTCAGAACTATTTGGCCATGTAATGGAAGACTCAACTTCGTCATGATATTCTGCACATTACATTTTAACCTTTTCTTTGACATGTCTGTTCAGTGAGCAGTAATAGTGGTTTGGTTTTTTCATTATTCTAAAGTAATGCGTCAGTTTTCTGAGTGTTGTTAAATTTCCTCATATAAATTCTCGTTTTAATAACGGTATCTCTACCTGTCTAAATACAGAACCATTTATCCATGCTATATTTGCTATCATTTTACCTTGTATGCTCTATGTTTTACCTGATTAATGAGATATTACCTTGTTTTGGAACGCAATATTAATCTCTTCCTGTATTCTTTCTTAGCATTTATACATGGAAGCATGGAATAAGGATAAGACCATGGTTCATGTCATGCCCGACACACCAGAAATCCTGCTGGCTAAGCAAAACCAATTAAACTACAGTCAGGTGAGTGAAGCTGAAGAGCTGAGAGAATTAAAGGATTTCTGACAAATACATTTTTGTCATCTCTGACTTTTAATTAATATGATAATACTATTGAGTTGTTTAGTTTTTTTCCTGCTGAAATCAGGATTGTTCTTTCACTAGAATTCTGCATATGTAATTGGACTTTTGTAATATATTATCTGCCATAAATGAGAAATCATTTCTATAATAAGGTATGGAAATAAATAATTTAACTTTCAGATTATTCCTTTCTTCCTCTTCCCTAGATGATTTCCAGTTTCCAAGCGTCTACAATACAATCACAAGATCTTTGAAAACTGCATTTTTTTATTTTCTGGAGAGGATAGAACTGTATTCAGATATTTAAGTTGTCTACCCTTTAACAATATTGTGTAGGGATTTAATTTGTTTTATTACACAGATGTGCTTAACTGAAGTCTAATTTTTTGTGAAACAAAAATGTGAATGTTCTTCTCACAGAAAATGTACAAACTAGCTTTGGAGGAATCGAAGAAGAAGGGTCATGATTTGCGTTTTGATGCCATTCCTATCCAAGCTGCCAGAGCATCCAGGGAGATTGCCAGTGATGTAAGCAGTTTTCCTGTCCTGTCTCTATGGATTTGATAATGGAAAAGAATCAGATTGTTTATTCCATTGTTTGTTAATGTAATACCTTAAGTTTCTGGAACTGATAATACAGAAATCCAGTGATTCTACTGCATGGCTTTAGAACGTCCCCCCCCCTTCCACCTTCTCCCCCCAGGTCTATATGCTGAGCATGATGCCGTATGGTCTGGAACATCCCTTTGATCAGTTGGGGTCAGCTCTCCCGGCTGTGTAGTAGACCCCTCCCAGTCTACTAGTGGGGAGGGGTGAGGAGGCCTTGATTCTGTGTCAGCACTGCTCCACAGTAACAAAAACACCCTGGTATTATCAACACTGTTTCCAGCACAAATCCAAACCAACCCCATACCAGCTCCTGTGAGGAAAATTAACTCTATGCCAGCCCAAACCAGCACAGATTGATAGCCAGTACTTTTATCCATGAGATATATATAACAGTAATGGACACGTGAGATAATATGAGGATTATTTCTATGTTCCCTGCAATAATTCCGTTGACGTTCATGGATGTTCAAATAGGATGATCAATAAGATGTACAAGTCTATGCCAGAGTTAGTCAAATTAATTTCTGATTCAAAACAGGAAATAATTTCAAATTTCTCCCCAAAACAGATATATTAGTAAATCAATTCTCAAGTTCTAAATTGTTATCTTTCCCTGAGGAAAAAATAGTTCTGTTGAAGTGTCACATTGAAATTCAAGGTGTCTAAATAGAAAAACAAGAAGAAGAATATGCAATGACAGGTTTTACTTCTGGGATGAGGAAACATCACTAGCAGACAGAGGATAACAGTTTATTATCCTCCTTGGTTTTTTACCAAGATTGATATTTAAACTATTAGTATTAAGAGCAACTCAGACTGTCTTCATCCAAGTGCTTTGTAATAAGCTTTTAAAATAAATTATTCTTTACATTTTAATGTTAATAGTAAAAGCATGTGGAATATCAAACTTGGTAGTAAGCATGTGACATTAAATGTGTAGTTAATTGAAAGTGTGATGTAGTTATATAAAAATCAGAGATAATGATATCTGTAATAAAAATCCTTTATATGTGAAAAACATTAAAACGGTAGGAAGACAAAAGTCATATTTTTCTCTAAACAAAATATTAATGTTTATGGTAAACTGTGTGAATTATTTATTACTTCAAATTGTTCAAAACCATATTGTTCAAAACAAATATGATTATACTTTATTTCAGTACAAGTACAAGGAAGGCTATCGCAAGCAGCTGGGCCACCACATAGGAGCTCGTAACATAGAGGATGACCCGAAGATGGTGTGGTCAATGCACGTGGCCAAGATCCAGAGTGACAGGGAGTCCGTTGAAAAGACAAATACACACTTCAGCAGCACAGTGGACATGCTGGACATCGTGCAGGCCAAGAAATGTCAAGGGTTGGTGAGCGACGTTGATTACCGCCACTATCTGCACCAGTGGATCTGTCTGCCAGACCAGAATGATGTTATCCATGCCAAGAAGGCCTACGATCTCCAGAGTGATGTGAGTAAATCACTAAATTTGTAGTGCATAATTAAATATACTGGGTCTTGTATAATAGAATTTTTTAAAATATATATGATGCTTTAGCCGCTTGTATCAGACATGTTGAGAATGGCGAAATGTTTAATTTTCAATCATCAAATTTATGTTTAATCCTATTTTCTTAATCCTTAGCATGAGGTGTAATTTGTGTGTAACTCTGGTATTTGTGGAGTTCTTCTATAACTGTTCTTTTTGTTATTAAATAATTATTTTACTAAATCTTCAAAAATAACAATTGTTTTCAAAACCGTATCCTGCTATTATACAGAAATATATACAATTGCTCATATAGACTAGGATATCTTTATTTATAATTAATATTTGATCACACTTGAACATGTATAATGAACTTTCCATTTTTTTCAGGCTGTTTACAAATCAGATCTGGAATGGCTGAGAGGTATTGGATGGGTTCCTATTGGTTCCATGGAAGTTGAGAAAGCCAAGAAAGCTGGAGAAATCCTGAGTGAAAGGAAATATCGTCAACCAGCAGATCAAATTAAATTTACTAGCGTGACAGATTCTTTGGCCATGGTTCTAGCCAAGCAAAATGCTGAGATAATGAACAAGGTGAGATATTTGGGTTTTTTGTCAAAATCACAAGGATTGCTATCTAACAGAACTTGTGCATGAGGTGGAAAATAGAAGCATAGAATGGTTTGGGTTGGAAGGGACCTTAAATACCATCTAGTTCCAAGCCCCCTGCCATGGGCAGGGACACCTTCCAGTAGACCAGGTTGCTCCAAGCCTCATCCAGCCTGGCCCTGGACACTTCCAGGGATGGGGCATCCACAGCTTCTCTGGGCAACCTGTTCCAGTGCTTCACCATCCTCTGCGGGAAGAATTTCTTCCTGATATCTAATCTAACCCTCCCCACTTTCAATTTAAACCTGTTACCCCTTGTCCTGTCACTACAGACCCTTGGAAAATACAAACCACTTTCCATGTGGACTTAGAGAAAATGAATGCCCAAATTCAGCCTTTGCACAGAAAAGCTCTGTCAGGGCTCTGTCTGAAGTGAACATTCAGGAAAAATATGCAGAAGAAAAGTCACCTAAATCACATATTTTTCAAGAGTAATACTAAAAATTTTGGTGAATTTCCCTCTTCCTACCCTCTCAGCTGAAACCCTGTTTTTAAATGGTTTTTGTTTTTTGGGGTTTTTTTTGTAAGTTTTTTCTCTTTTGTTAATGCTACTTCACTATACAAAGCTCATCTCCGACAGAACAGGCTAAATTCTTCTGCAGTTCTTAGACAATACTGCGAAATTCTTGGGAATGATGTTCCAGCAAGGTGTTAGGGTATGTCCAGAGGTGGTGGTGTCATGACCGTGCTATAAGATAGGATGTAGCAGAATATTGAGGCTTTTACTGCAGCTGCTGTGATGGTGTATTGTTGACTGAATGTCGTACGGCATGATGAACAAGTTATGAGGAAAGAGCTTATGTTCTCTGGAAGTTGAGCTTCTGCAGTTTATCTTAGACCTGGAAGATGAAAGTCATTATTCTCATACTAAATCCAGAACACATCGTTGTACCAGCTACTAAGAAGAAAATCAACTCTATCCCGGCTGAAAGCATATCTAGGCGAAGCACGCAGCTTGCGTGCGGCCTAAGGCTTCAGCACATCTAGCTACTCATGCTAAGTCAGCAGTGAGCAAACACTACACCAAACTACTCCACATTATGCTGTAACCCTTGCATCCTATTGCTAAATAATCGATTCTGAGCAATTCATTCTACTTAAAACTTACTTATTTAACCTAAATGTTTAGTATTTCTTAACAAAAGGAATGTGTTTTCCTCTCTCCTAGCGTTTATACACGGAAGCCTGGGATGCAGACAAAACATCAATTCACGTCATGCCTGACACGCCGACAATTTTGTTAGCCAAGGCCAATGCAGCTAATGTTAGCCATGTAAGAATATTTAAACATATACTAAAATAATGGGAATTCAGAAAATGAAGCATTTCTTTTACCGTGAACATCATCTAAAATATGCGTTCATGAAAATTCTAAGAAGAAGATTATGTAATGTAGAAATTTTATCTTTCAGAATATTGAGAACCATTTTCTGTCTTCTTTTCTGTAGAAACTTTATGTACAAGCCTGGGAAGATGCCAAAAAGAAGGGTTACGACATGAGAGCTGATGCAATTCCCATCAAAAGTGCAAAGGCATCAAGAGATATCGCGAGTGATGTACGTCCTTCCTTGACGTTTCTTTTCAGTTGGCTTGAGAAACGAGAATGAGGCAATGAGCTACATAGAGCGTAAAAACCCGTGTTGTATCAGATTGGTCTTGAAAGCCTACTGACAAACGCTCACTGCAGGAAGAAAATGGAACACAGTTTCCAAAAGGAACATTGAATTATAAATCCTGATATTAAGCAGATATGATAAACTACAATGAAAATAAACAAAAGCTCCCAAATAAGAATGCATTAAGCATTCCTACTTTCTAAATGATTATATTTCATAGCACAACAAATATATTTGTGATCAGTAGCAATGTGAAATGATGGGAAATTCATCCCAGATTCACTGTGTCTTGTAATACTTCTTTTCGTGTTTCTCAGTACAAGTACAAAGAAATGCACGAGAAGCAGTGTGCTGGGCGGGCCATGTTGCTGCAGAACGACCGCATTTACAGGAAGGCGTACCATGATTCCAAGGCCCAGATCCACATCCCAGTGGACGCGATGTCAGTGCAGGCAGCCAAGGAGTGCCAGACTCTAGTCAGCGACGTCGACTACCGCCATTACCTTCACCAGTGGACCTGTCTTCCTGACCAGAACGACGTCATCCACGCGCGGAAGGCCTACGACCTACAGAGTGATGTGAGTGAGAGCAGCTGTAGAAAAGCCTTATGGCAGGTGTGTGAGGCTCTGTTTGTGAGTGACCGTGCAAATATCCTTTTGAAATGCACGTTGGGGAGCCTGCCGTCAGTCCTGGTATGTGTATTTTAATTCATCTGGATGAGTTTTCAGCCTGGGTGTCAGAAATAATCTGGGCAGTTCATGAGGAAACCATGTGATTGGTCCATGGTAGAATGTTTTCTTGCAGTTCAGCTGCAGACTGCTTGCACGTTATGCCACTGCTTTGCATGTAGCAAGTATCTTTTAAAGTACCTTTGTCCCTGTGCAAAACAGCAGTTTAGCTGTGTGTGGAAAG